AGAGGCTTTTACAACAACGACATAAATGGCTTCAAAGAGAGATAAATTAAGCATTATGACTATTGACTATGGAACATCCTTGCAAAAGTGTACAAACCTAGAGTTGAAAGTCTTTATCATCAATTTAGCACCTTTTAAGGTCATCAATGAATATTTATCTTGGACACATATTATTGTCATTTCCAAGGTACTAATTCTCTTCATCATTGAATTTCTTTTTTGTGCTTCCTACCTTGTTGCCTCTACCTTTTTTCTCTCCTTTTTTTAGTTTCCAATTTTATGATATTTATGGAAATCCTACTTTTCACTTGTTTTTCAATATTTAACCTTATCGCATGCCCTATTCATTCCATAGGAATCTTCTCACATCAAATATATATAGTTAATTTTGTTACTACAATGTGGTCTTTTAGAGGTCTACTAACATAGGATTATTATGCTAATGCATTAATTAAATTACTGAGCTAATCTTAAACAGCTACATGATTCAATTGTCTATGTGTATATTTAAGATTCATATGATCTATACATTACCCCATACCTTATGAAAGACTATATTGAGCTTGGCATACTTAATTATTTTACAATATAATTTCTTATCTATTAAGAAATTAATGTTAATATACGCCATGGTTTCACAATGCAACTCATCCTAAATTGTTGTAATAAGCATGATATACTTTGTTATTTAGAAACAATACTTCTCATATAACATTAATGTAGTGTGGTATTATGCAACATATATTTCCTTATCTCAAATATTATGTATGATAGATGAATGTTTTTCAAATCACTTTTGCATTTTGATACTCTTGCTTAGCAATGCAATATATATCTTAAAAACTTAACATTAATTTACTTTGTTCCATAATGTAGCTTCAGATATATTTGCATATTGATATTGATGTACTTTGTTACTTGCAACATAACCTTCATATATTGGAATATTGTGTGCCATATATTGAGTTATATATGTATAACTTCTAAGTTTCATACTTTTTGTTTGTAAAATAATTTATATTTATGAGAATAATTTTGATGATGTACTATGCTCTACCACAATAGAAACATCCTATATTGACATTTTTACATTGACACATTGTGTTATTTGGTAAAATAAACTTCATGTAATTAAACATTGTGTTCAATGTATTCAGTACTTTATGTACTAGTAAGTTTGATACTTGAGCTCTATAAGTTACTTTTCACACTGTAGAGTGATGCATAGAAAAATTATTGTTTATGTATTGCCCTCTTCCAAAATGCAAATATGTCATTACCATAAATATTTTTGTTCATGCATCCCATTATTCCACAATGTAAAATAATATATAAGCTTTCATAATGACGTACTACATTCTTCCTCAATACAAGATATCGTATACCAAAATAGTGAAATTTTATTGTTGATGTTTTGGGCTCTTAATAAATGTAAAATAACATATTTTTAATTGCATTTGTTATCTCAAAATTCCATTTGAGGTTCTTACAATCATTAGAACAAAGTTGAGTGGGGAAATTAGGCCTTATATAAATTATATGTCATTTCTAGTTGAGGGGAGAAATGGGTCAACCAATATATCAACTCAAAGTGCCAAGGCATGATCCAAGAGATTAATAACTTTTGAGACAATAAGAGTGCTTCACTCTCTAAGAAGTATATGTTTTCGTTCCTTTGATGCCATATAACTTTTGATGATCCTAGGTTTTATGTGTTGTTTTCTAGATTTACAACTATTATCACACAACTTCTTTAGATTTATAGATTTATGTCAATCTAGGTACTATTCAATAAACAAATAAACAACGATTATCCTCCCTTGGCATGATTCATTGGAATCATAGCTATGACAACTTTGAGCAAGTAATAATTAATCTTCCCTAATATGGAAATATCATTTTGATGGTTCAAAGTTCTTATTGATTTTTGAGATAGAGTTGTAGTTTTTGTAATATATCATTATTAAAAAAAATTATATTTAACCAATAGCAAAATACTAGTCAATAATTGATAGTAGGAATTTCAACAACTACTCATAAGTTGCCTAATGGCTGATTGCAGGTACTATAACACTTTTTCCTTTCCACAATCTCCACTCGAGCTAATGTTAGCTGCAGACCAATTTTCTTGAAATTGACTCTTAAGTCAACTTACTTCTCAATAAACAAATTAAAAATAATTGTACATGGGTCTATAAAAAAATATTTAAACATAAAAAATCATAAGTATGCCCTTCTAACCTAAGCTATGAACCTTAAACACTTGGAAAACTTTGCAAATGATGAGTAGATAAGATTTCAAATGAACTAGTAATGTAGTTATACTAAGAATATAAAATTACCATTTTGTCTTGATGTAGTATCTTAGTTACTAGAAGTGTAAAAACTCTTCTGACTTATTAGCTTGACTCAAGAGTAGACTGATATCACGAAAGTACTAAAGGAGACATGATAACTTATTAGTGGTTCCAAAATCATACCAAGGGTCAGCATTACATATTGTCATCATTTAGATCTTCGTGTGTTATAATTTAGGTAGTGTAAAATTATTATTTTACTTTTGGATAAATTTCTGCACATTAAAATTAGGTGGGTTCCAATTGGCAACACTTACCATGCAAGATGAGATCTGAAGATCAACACTTTGGTATACCAAATATATTAGTTATTGACACTGTAAAGTGTAGATGTTCATTTCATTTTAGTTTCAGATTATAATTTACCCTCTTGTGTTGGCAAACTTTTTATTTCCTTAGTATTTACCTATTTTTAGGTTTTGAGACATCAACATAAAGTGTATAAACATTTAATCTTTTTTCCTTAGGTGTCAACCCATACCTCTTGGGTTAATAGCAGTGTACTATTAATCTCTTTTGGTACAACAATTGGCACTTACCTTTCAAATGCTGACCCTAAAACCTTTTCCCTCGTTTCCTATGAAGGTTTCAGGACTTAATACCTTCGTTCATAATCCTAGAAATACATCCAAAAGCTTAATATTGATAGTGACACTTCTTGTACCTTAAATATTTATGACTTCACACAAAAACCTTACTTTGTGCAACTAATATGAACATAAATATTTATTTTTTGCTCCAAAAATATGAACATATGTAGTATTTTAACATGGTTTCAGTCACATCAATAACTTGTACATGATTAATTATTCATGGCTCAAAAAAATATGATGGGACTATAGTATCAAATAAAAGTTTCCACAATATTTAAGCATACAAATACTTAAAAAAAATTGCACTAGTTTTTTGTGTAATCCCAAACCTACTCATTCTCTAGTCTTTTCCTTAAAGATATTGTTAATTTACCTTTAGTTTATTTAAATATATCTTTCTCAAGGTGTTGAGTAAACCTTTTCAAAACAATATAAGTAGTATTTAACAAAATGCTTTTCAACATGATGGAAAGCAAAATAAATAGAGTTCTAAGCCAATGTATGAGTTAATGATTCAAGAACAAGCTCGGAGAGCCTTATGGAACATTGAATAAATAGCTTGATAACCCTTCAAACTAGTTAGAAGGAACTTTAAAAGGTTCATTACATATATTTTATGGAGGTTTGAATATCTCACATTGTGAGTGATGTTTTGCACCATAAAATGTTTTTCCCTTCGACAACTAGAAAAGGGCAGAGCTTTTACCCCATTTTTGTTGATATATTAGGTAAAATAGTTCACGCAACATTTTTTGATAATTTAAGTAAAGGTCCTTAACTTCTGCCTTACATACAAATCTGCACACATAGCATTGATTCTAATATGCTAGGTTTTAACTCTTTTGCTTAAGGATAGATTTCTGCACACATGACTGTTCATCTTGTCCTTATGGATTTCTTTTAACTAAGAAAACATTCTTTCATACAAGTTGTGCTAGGAGATGAACATCCCCTTCTTTCCACCATGGAAGGATAAACAAATACTAGAGATAGAGAGAGGAAAGAAAGGCACGCCAAATTTATGTGGTTTGGATAATCCTCTACATCAATGGTCATGGTCACATCAGCTCCTATTCATCTTTTGGAGAAATAATTATTTTTCATGATACCCATAATGCCAAATAAGTAGAGTTGAATCAAAATACTCGTTGTAGACCCCCATCTTTGATCATTCTCCATATATCTCTGATAAGTTGCAACAAAAAATTGAGGTTCCATACTCATTAAAGTCAGCTTTCCATTTTCAACAAACTCATGAAAAACTAGACCATTGAAGTGTCAAGATCTCTGATCTTTGAAAATCGTATCAAATGCACTTGGGGAAAAGGAAAGCTAAGAAGTAGCTCATATAGCAAAAAAAATGAAATAAATCATAAGGGAGGAAGAAGGTGAAGATGATGCAGCAAACTATGACATGGTCACCCTCAACCACATGCAGCATCTTAATTGACCTTCTCCTCTACAGGTACATGGTTTCTTAGAGATATGAGATAAATACAATAATGTGTTGGCACCCTGATATTTATCAAGAGAAATCAAGGAACTTACTTTTTGTCCATAAATATTTGAAGTTTACCCACTGCATGTTAGTGTTAGTGGGCAGCAGGTTTTCCATTAGAAAAATCTGCAAGTAAATCCTAAAACTCTTCCATTTCTGAGGTCATCTATTTGATTACTTTTGGCCTATTGCTCGTTAGATTATGATTCGAAAGACAGGTTCTTTGACGTTAATTGGAGGCTTAATACCTTTCATGTACAAGTAGGGGTTGTAGGGCGCCATTACCAGGCCTGTTTATGGGGCTAATTTACTGAAGTAATTATGAAATTAATCGATCAACAAAGTCTGGCATCTATCCGTTAACTATTTGGGAGAACGAGTTCGGAAGTCACCGCGTCTGCCTCGCAACTTGCCGGCGGTGAGCTTCCCGTTAGCATCGCAAGAGACCGCTACTTCGTTCGGAATGTGAGGGAAAGACGATCCCATTTTCCCTCTATCTTCTGCAATTTACTGTCCAACTATTTATTCGAATCGGAGAAGCGGTAGGCCCAGATGGTAGTTGGGACGGCAGTAATGATGCGGGCAAACTCGTTGGTGAGAGCGGAGCGGTTGTCGCCGGGGCTCGATCTCCCCCTGAACCCTTCCGGCGCCGTCGGTGGGGATTGCTCACCGAAGAAGAATTTCGTCTTCGTCATCAATCCCAAGGGTACCAGCCCAAAGCACTCTACGATCTACTGTCCTTGCTTTATGCGGCAATTTACGATGTCGTGGATGCTCTCATCTGGATGGACGCAGGAGCTAATGGGAAAACGGGTAAAGAGTGGAAGAAGATCCAGCCGTATCTAAGGGAAATGTTGAGCAGAAATTGCAATGTGAGTGCCCCTTGCTTTCCATGCTCTGGTCCATTGTTCCGAATGTTCATCTATGATTATTCAATCTCTTTTAGTTGTTCACACTTTTAGCATACATAAAATCCTATGGTCTAGACTGTATCTTTTTTCAGCATTTTTAGCAATTTTTTAGGTTAGATTTCATGGAGGTGGTGGATCAACTTCCTGAACCTCAATCGCGTCTCTGGTATATGGGAGTAGACGAAATGAAGGATTATAATTCCCAATTTTTTTGGGTATTGTCTTTATGTCCTTTCTGTGATGCTCTCAAATAGGATCAAACATGGTGGTTCTTGAAATAGGAGTTACTAGTGGTTGGTTCTATTAAAGGTTGGTAAATTGCGGGTATCATTCTGATCAATTAGGAGAAAGTAAGGGAAGTGTATGCGGTTCAAAGGTGACTTTGAGGAGGCATATGATGTGAATTGGGTGTACCAGACCATATGAGATACATGACAAAGTTTAGCTTGAAGTTATAACTGGATGACTGGTTGTGTATCTTTTGCGTATTTATCTATTTTAAATTGAAATGCTTGTGGTTTCTGTATAAACTCTTTAGGGATGAGACATGTTGATCCGCTGTCCATGACTCTTTCTTCTAGTAAACAAGTTACTAATGTCTTTACAGATATTAGGATATACCTATGGATATGGATGCTTTGGGTCAAAAAATAAGCAGAAAGATAAGATTATTCCGTTTCAAACCAACAACGTGGGAAGCCACATGATATGCTTTCAGAAAGTCTGTGCTCTAAAATGTTAAATTCAAGTAATATTCTGTCAAAAACCTCTTTCTATCTCGACCTGAATGCTTTCTAAATCTGAATATTTTTTACAGTGGAAGGAGACCAAGAGATTTTTAACTTTTGTGCCTTCCCAGTTTGACACAATAAAATCAGCTTTGGTTCCCTCTTTTAACGAGTTAGCAGTTGATATATTTTTTTTCATTCTTACACACTACTCTTGTATTGCGAGATCATAGTAATGACCCATTACTTTTGGCAAGTCACTTTTGATGAAAGGCAGCTGAACTTCATGATATGTTCCTCTATGGGTCTGTCATGATACGCATATCCTTGTGGCCCTTTTTTGTGGTTCTGAGACAATGTTTGATTCAATTGTCATAATGCCATTGACCTATTCTCTTTTGTTTCTTGTAATTTTTTCCACTTCTGTCCTCTCATGCTTCTGGATTGACCGAGATCATCATGTTTCTTTCATAACTTTTTGTGCTGTTGGCAGATGCATGAATTGTCTACTACAGGCCCTTTTCATGCAGCGGAGATAACAAGGGATGTAAGTATTTTTGAAGTGAAGTATTAAAACATTAACCTAGTTTTTTTCAGAATAGTTTTCTTAGAATCCCTTGAACGTGAAAGTTAAATCTGATACAAACAATCCATTTCTGGAGCACAGGCGATAAGAGAGGGAGCCGATGCTGTGATAGCAGTTGGAGGTGATGGAACTCTTAATGAGGTGAAGCTATTTCCTTTTTTATCTTGATTTTGGAATTATTCAGGACGCATTTCTTTTCACTTTGTGCCAGGCATTAATGTTAATTTCGGGAGAATGTTGCTGTCAATGCTCATATATTGAGTTACTGCAATATATAACATGACTTTGTGGGAAGTACCTGACAGTATAAATTGTAGAGCAAGCATGGACTTAGCTTTCTGATGAAACATATGCCAGCTGCGGAAGTTTTATGAACTTTTGTGGTTTTATTTGGGTAAGAGAGAAATTTTCAGATGTTTGAGCCGTGGGAGGGTAATCTCATCCTGGTGAAGAGCTTTGGTGGTATTTATGTGATATGCTGCTTGTCAGACTAGTGAGATTGAAATATTTCTGATGATAGCTGATAAAATTTCTGTATTCTGGATCAAATGAACCTTGGGAGAGGAGAATATTCATGAGGAATGGCTGAATATATACCGAATCACATTTTCTCAAATTAACATTTTTGAAAGGGACTGACTTGCTTTATGATAAGTGAACTCCATGCCACCGAATTTTATAGGATTACTGGCCATCAAATCAGTGTTGGAGGATATGCTTCATTTGGTCCACAGTTTATTCTATCATTTTTTTTCTTTATTACATCGATAATCTTTCAAAAAAATTCTGATCTACTTTTTATCATTTCCTCGTTCCTGGGTCAAGATAAATTTTAGAGTCTGAACTACTCACAGTTCTCGTTATATTACCTCCTTGACATAACAGATTTGATGTGGTCTTACCATTCATCTGTCAACAATCATGAGTCAGTTCGATTAATGTTTCATTGCAAGAAGGCCCATTTCCATGTCCCAGACTAGATCAATCGTATACTTCTTTGCTACAACTATTTGTATATACTCCATGAAAGATCCTCCTGGCATGCTGAGTTGCATTTAACACATCAGGTTACAGTGAATGAGGGAGCCCAGAGATTATGGTCTGAATGAGGTTCATGTGATACCACAAGGAAGTTTGAGCTAGAAGCTCCCAATTTTTATCGTAGTCTTGACCCTGTAGCCTTCCTTGACTGCCTTTCTAGCAGCGATCAGTTCATTCACTAGAATCAGATGACTCCTTCAGCATTCCCAACTTGCTAAAATGTGATTTACCAGGCTTGCTGAACATCACTGGATGAATTGGGAGAAGCAACATGAATGCCTCTTACAAAGCCCTTGTTTTGGATTTTTTGCTGCTACATGCACCCCTCTATTAAGGGAGTATTTTCATATAATTTCCTGTTCTCTATATATTTTTATTCATTCTATTAATCCCGTAAGATAAATCTCGCAGTTAGATTATTCCTCTGAAATATTAATTGGATTTCTCACGAAAATTTGGATCGCTTTATGCATGTCTTACAAGTCTTGCTAATATCTAACATCAAATGGCAGGTTGTTAATGGGTTTTTTGAAGCAGGAAAGCCAGTTTCCTTATATGGTCCTGAAACTGGACGTTCAACTGCACTTGGTGTGAGTACTAACAAAATGTCACTTGATTCTTGGCTTTTGGTTTTTGAGTTTTGATTTTATTTTATTTTATTTTATTTTTTTGCACTATGAAATCCATTTGAAGTCATGGTTTGCCATTTTGTAGCTCATCCCTATGGGTACTGGATCTGATTTTATCCGAACATTTGGCTGGTTAGTCTCTTTAATAATATTTGAAATATTTCGTGAGCTCCCATAGTCTGATTACCAAATGGCTTGTTATCCATGTCAGGAGAAACGACCCTCGTGAAGCTATAGAACGTATTGCCAAAGGTTCATTTTTTTGTTAGATTTCCTACACTTGATGTATACTTGTATTTCTCTTGATTGGTTTCTAAAGGTTCATTTTTCTCCTTGTTTAAGTAGTGAAAATATGAACTCAAGAAGAAATAGTGTAAACTGATTTCAAACTTTGTTTCAAATGGTGTAGATAGCATAGCAGAGTGCTGAAGCTGATTGTAACATATTGTGACGAGGCTTATTTATGATGACACGCATGATATATAGATTTATTGATATACATGGGATGTCTTGCACTAGTGGTCCATGCATTCTGATATTATATACTAGATTTTATGGATGTTATAAAATATGATATCCATTTTGCTGGTTTTAGGATGGGGGGAGGGGAATTTAAAAATCTAGCCGTGGGTTTTGGTTCATAGTTTTTTTGGCTCTTTGGATGGTAACTTACCTGGATCAGATCAACACGCACTTGTAGAATTTGAAATGCATGTTGATCAGAAGATAACTCGCCTATTCCAGGGCATTGTTCTCTTTAAATTTAGTAGGAAAGTGCGGTCAGATTAAGACCTGATCATATCTTGAGAAACTGAAGTCGTGCGAATTCATCTAAGAACACTTCAGTGGATCGAAATTAATTCAAGTTCATTTACTGTGTTTTTGTCTATTTGGTTTTGGGCATAATGGTCTGTTTCAGGTTCTTGAGATGTTACGTCTATTGCAAATTGAAGTTTGGCTTCCATAAGAATGGCTCCTTGAGGAATACGTTAGAGTGAGGATATGTTTGCATAAGCTGGGCTCGTTAAGGAATACCAATGATTAAATATATGGTTGGATAAGCCGGGCCCAAGGAATATGAGACGGATCATGGGGTAAACTTGTGGAGATCCCTAATAGCATATTATTTTCATGTCTTTGTTATTATGGGGCAACCTGACTTAATAGCTTTAATTTTAATTGTTTTAAATGAGTTATTTCCTGAACTGATGGATTTGACTGTTCTGTGCCATTGCTTTGCATTCTCATTCATGTTTGTTGCTCTCACACTGTTTTCCGAGAATGAGAAATTATTTCTAGTGGCCTTCGATCACAGAGACTGGGTCCGAGCTTTGCAAACTCTATGCTGTGGGGGAACTCCGCCAGGGTCTTACCACCTTCTTGATTGACTATTTTTGAGTCTTTGGTGTACTTTGGGATTATATTCTGCACCGAGATTTGTGCTTGTGGGATGGGGTGAATATAGCCGACAAGCGGCTACAGATCATGAATGTGTGGATGCTTTGAAATAGTTTTATGATTTACCGGATGTCTCTGTGGAAAGTGATCGATCAGTCTTGAGAAGCTTAGATTCCGCTGTCGGGTTATTCTGGGGAAAGGCAATGATATGTTCTTTTGAGGTCATGCTTTGTGTTTGAATAGATGCTTCAAGTCAGATAGAAGCGAAAAGGAAAGAAACTCAGAGCGATATTGGCTAGTCTTTTATGTGCTTTGAAAGACAATTTGCCTTCATTTGAGAGAAATACGGACAAACTTGGCTGATGCTAACACTTCTGAATTTTTATTGAGGAACTTAGGGATCATGATAAAGAGGAAAGAATTTCATGTCGGATTGAGATTTTTAACGACATGTGGTTTCATTATATTTCTTGCATCAGTTCTCAAGTATTCGAGTCTATCACAATAGTGAACTATGGCATTCTTTCTTTTCGTTGGCACACCCTAACATGGTGAAGAGCTGAATCAAATGGAGCTCCCCAAGATTTTGCAAGTTCTCCTAACAAGTGGCTTCCCTGGGATTCAATTTTTCTAAAGGTGGTGATGAAGTTTTGAATCGTCTGGTTTAGCAATAGTGAATAAAACAGTAAGTACCTGGTTCTGACATGGTTTTTAGGAAGATTAAGCTCATTTAGCTGAGGTGTACCCTCAAAAGTAGGCTTTTGAAGGAGCATACAACATAGTCAGCTACCAGAAATTTTCTACTAAAAATCAAAATGATATGAAAAGGTTTAATGTTAACTGATGGTAACTAGAGCACTGCATAATGCGATCACTTAAATTCCATGCTCTGTTGTAATCTTGTAATTCAGGCGAAAAGCTTCACTTTTTAGGCTGTGGCGCAGGGACAAGATCAAGAATAGATGTTGGCGTTGTAAGTGGAGGAAGTGGAGAACCACGTTACTTCATAAATGTTGCTAGCCTTCATTTGTACGTGTTTGCTGGAACTCAAACATTACGATACTTGACGAAACGTGTTGTGAGAAACATGGTATCTTTTCCTTCTTGATAAACTCTGCAGGAGCGGGAAGGCTGCATTTTATGCATCGAAGTACAAAAGATTTGGAAACTTGTGTTATGTTTTTGGGGCTTTGAGAGCATTCTATGGGCACAGAGATCAGAACCTCAGGATCAAGGTCACGTTATGGAAATTCTTCCTGGCATTTCCAATATGGGTCACTATCGTTGTTCTGTTTTACAAGTTAATATGATATTTCCAGGTTGATGATGGTGATTGGGAATTGTTTGAGAAAATCACTACCATTTGCATTGGAAATGCCAAATTTTATGGTGGGGGGATGAAGATTACTCCAGCGGCTAGCCCAACGAGTGGAGATCTTCAGGTAAATTTCACACATTTCTTCACCTTTCCAAGTAAAAAAATAAATAAATCAGCGTTTCTCTGAAGTTTGCCATTTTCTCAGTATATATACAAAAAATCTCTGCTTTGGATTCCTCAGGTTGTGATCTTTCAAGAGTTCAAGTGGTACGATTTTCTTTTCAAATTGCACAAACTCTACAATGGATCTCATATCTCGGAAAGAAACGTATTTGTAAAGAGGTAATTCTTTTTTGCCAATGGGTTTTTTGATTTTCTCCATCAAGCCGATTCTTCTATGTCTGCTCTCCTTTTTTATTTTCATTCATAGCCGGGTCACCTTGGGTTAGAGGTTGCTTTGGATCACAAGAAGGAAGACCACAGTCTTATGATGATCATCATTGGCTGCTAACTTAGCTTGCCCGTCAGCAGATAGCATATCTTGCTCTGTCAATCCTGGTTCTGATCTAATTGATCCTCTCCTCAACGGTCTCCTAGCATTCTGCATGCCGTAATTTGTGGAATTTTCATGATCTGTATGGTATTGTTGATTCAGTTTCCTCCCCAGAAGTGTTCAGTTTCAAGTCTCTGTTGCACAACATTTTTCGACGAAATTTCTGTTAGAATTATGTATTTATTTATTTAATTCTTCCATCTTGTTTAATCTTCTAAACCCTTTTTAGTAATTTACTAGATAACTTGGATAATTGGGTCTGACCTATAATCTTGGAATCAAGATAATTGACATTATAATATGATTATCTAGAGGATTAGAGTGGTAATGGCTCACTTAAGCATCCTCACAACCTGTTTTCGAGGCTGCTATATAAGTTTCTACACTTTAGTCCATGGTCATTTATACCCCTAAGATTTTGGTGAATACTACGTTATATAGGATTTTTTGGAAAAAAAAAGAAAATATGGGCAAGATATTACTCTATGGTCCAAGGGTATGAAGAGGCCTTGATGTTCTTAGTTTTCTTATACAATAATTCCCAGAATGGCATAACGTATTTAACAATTAAATTTTACCCATATTTTGCGTTTGAAAAATGGTTTTTTTTTTTTCACATTATCATTGATACTCGAATTTTTTGGCCCATTTCTTCAATATTTCCTCTAATAACAAAATTTATGCATGGATAAAGTTATACCCTTATTTCAGTTTGAAACCGGATTATTTTACCTTTGTAATTTTATTTTTTTTAATTTTCACCCATTTCCTAAGATGGCAAAATCTACACATTTTCAGTCTGAAACAAGATACTTTTTATCTCGTCAATTAATATTGTTGTCCTAATTTTTACATTTCTTTTTTTCTTTTTTTCATTTCGCTCAGTGTTCAGGGTATTCAAGTGGCGGTGGAAGGATCCATCGATGGAGTCTATGTAGAATCCGATGGGGAACACGTAGGGTTCCTTCCAAGGAGGTTCTCCGTCATGCCAAGCTCGCTTGAGATGTTTGTCTGACCCTGCTTCATTTCTCTTTTAGCTTATGAGTAAATTAAAAACCTTATTTTTTTGATGCATTGTAACCATACATAGTAAACATCAGTGAAAAAATACATTTCACTATGAAAGAAGAATAATTTTTTTATGGTAATTTATAGGATAAATTACCATCTCATTTGGTAATCTAGATCCGATTGTGATGATAATCATATAATAACAACGTTATTTATTAATATTCATTTGCCATGCAAGGAGTTTTGTAAACTCACCATGCAAATTTGATGGCAATTTTTTTTATTGTAGATAAATAAATTTTGTCTTAAAAAGTAACTTTTAATACAGTCTTTGGAAAAAGTAGACACCATTCATTGCTTTTTACGACCAGCGATCGCACCCTTCTAAGTGGGTCATTCAGTCTATTGATACAGGTCAACGCTATTTCATTATTTTCCCTTTTTTTCTAATAATATGGCTGATCTTAGTGCACCGTCCAGCCAAATAAATGGAGATTCGGTGCATTCCTGGCTTTGATTTTTCCAAAAGTCCTTCTAGAGCCAGCCGTCTACCGACCTTTCTCTCGTTCTGACTTTTCCAAAAGGTCCTTCTTCCAGTCAAACCTTGTGACGGCCATTTCGGGTTGGGGATCCGAATTCCCCCTGGGAATCAGACTGTGACAGGCCGATTCGGTGCACCTCGAGGAGAGTCGTCCGATCGTCTCGGGGACGCTACGTGGCGAACTAGGCGCCGGCTGAGAAGTGGCATGTCCGTAAGTAATAGACCGAGTCTACATCGGTGGGCGGCTGGTCATATCCTCCAGCTGCTGGGTGGAGGAGAGTTTGCGGGCCCCACCATGTGACAAATTCAAAAAAGTTGATGTTGTGATGAATACGAGCTCGTGTGTATCTTCACGTACGCTGGTAACACAAAATGTGGTGGATCTCCACGCGTCTTTCTAGAACAGTCTAGGGAACGAGCCTGTCTTTTCGGCTTCGCACGGAAATCGTGTGTCTGGTAACTTATAAGGGAGAGGGCCGGCACGACTGTGAGGAAGGGGACAGACTTTAAGCTATCCAATTGGGGCAAATAGGGTCTGGAGAAGGGATAACCGCTGGAAGCGTTGCGTCCACCCGTCCTTCTGCCGGAGGAGGTCTCTGATCTGGTCTGCGAGGTAAAATCCGATCCATCGATCTTCTTCCTCGTCGCCTCTGACCTCCTCCAGGCGTGGGATCGGGTGGCGCTCGGGGGAATCCTCTCTTTTTTGTGGCCGTAGCTTGTGTTCGAGCTTGAATCAAGGTGAAGGCTTGACTGACTTGTTCTGGATCTACGATTCTTTTTTAACGTGATTGAAGGAAGCGGTTCTTGTACTCAGATCTATAATTTTTTTGCCGTTTTTGGCGATTCTATGGCCAATCTGGGGACTACGTGGTAGATCTATGGTTGAGTTTTTGTCGTCGAGTTTTCAGGGATTCATGCCCGATACGTTGAACTCCCGGCGAAGAGGTCCTCTTGGAGCTTGTCGTCCCATGTAAATAACTTTCTGATGAAGTTGTTCAGATGCTGTTACTCAAGGGATTTTCCTGTATCTATTGCCAAAGTATAAACAAACTATCAGTATTTCTTATTTTCGTACTAAATCCGCTTCGGATCAAAGTACGAAGGGTGAAAAGTTGGCAAACGTTTTTATGACTTTATTGTTTTGTTTCAGCTGCATCAGGTCTTGAGATTTGTTTTGTTTCAGAGGCTACGTAGTAGATCTGTTTATCGTTAACTAAAATTTATGCAATTAGGTTTTAAAATTGATTTGCTACGGTTCTATTTGTTCGACAATATATTGGTTTGTTTACCTTGGGAAAATTGGTTGAAAATGGATGGGGATCCTACCTTAAATCTCATCTTCTTCATTGTGTCTTGTGCGCGAGGGGATTTCTCTTAATGCAATATGGGTTAAAACGGCTACAATATTGTATACTCCATGTAAGAGGGTTTTGTCTCTGAAAAAAGACGTTCGATGTATTCACGTACTACAGAACCATCTAGATTTATCAGACGGGTATTTTGTAATAAATGACGACACTAACGTTGGTTAGAAGCTAACATGCCAAGGTCAAATGTAATTCTTTTGTTCGATTGGTGCCTGACGCTTGTGTTCTTTTTCAGGTTCAGGTTACCAGAAATGAGTCGCCCTCATGATGGCCATCGACCATTTTTTCCATCTGGAAATCCTTTCCGCCTAATATTACCCCGTGGCTCGAATATACCACCAAAGTATGCGACCCTATTGAGCACTTTTGAGAAGAATCTGGCCGAAAGATTCAAGAATCTCAAGGAAAACGTTGAATCAGAGATTCTTAACTTATCATGGATGTGCGATGCTATGGAGTCTTTGTCTGAGACCCACACTGATATCAAAAACCTCATCACTGACCTTCAGTTCCCTATTTCTGACTGGGATGGGCAGTGGATGGACATGTATTTGGACAATAGCGTCAAGTTACTTGACATTTGTATTTCATTTAGCTCTGAGATATCCAGGCTCGACCGATGCCAACTTTTGCTTCGGTATGCCCTGCATGTTATTGACTCAGCCGACTCTCCTTCAGAGAAACAGCTTAACAGTGTTCGTACATCTCTCAGTGATTGGATGCAACAAATCAACTCGCGGAATTCAAAGCTAAAGGATTCTCATAAAATTTTGGAGGAGCTCAAAAAATCTCTTTATCTGCCGAAGGCAAAGAATTCTAACAAGGGGAAGATCTTAATGCGAGCCATGCATGGTGTGAAGGTACAAACCATATTTGTCTGTACTGTCTTCTTGGCAGCTTTAATGAAGTCTTCCACACCGCTCATGGACTTACAAGTTTCTGAAAAGTTCTTATGGGTTGAATCCTTTACGGACCTCCAAAGTTATGCCAACAGAGAAATAAGGAAAAGAGAATCATGTAGCGGGGTTTTGAAATTGAGAGATTTGGAAGCAGTTAGTTACAGCGCAGAGAAACTTCTTTGCTTGATTCCTGGCTCTGACGAGCTTCTATCCCGGAATATGCTGAAAGAGAATAGCCTTGGCCGCAATGAGGATGAATCTGTTCAAGACGGTGATGCTCAGAACAACCAAATTGAAGGAGTAGAGCAATCTGTCATTGAGCTCAGTGAGACAGCAGAAAAGTTTGCTGATCGTCTGGACGTCCTCTCCAAGAGGGTTGGTGATTTTTTCCAGATCGTCCTATCTGGACGTGATGCTTTGCTTTGTAATCTAAGGGGATCCGATGTAATGCAAGGGACTGTTGGGGAAGATAGGAAATTGTGACATCATCAGTTTGAATGCTGTCTCTAAATATGGTAGTATTGTAATTTTGCTCTGTAATTATAACGTTGTTTGAATATGGCACGAGATGTAGGCTGCTTATGCCAAGTTTCCTTCCAAGTTTCCTACCAAGTACTCAAGTATCACAGGTACGCTGATCTGATAACTTCTCTGACCTTGCCGTGGATTCTAACCTTTTCTTGGGACCTGTGATTCTCTTCAAGTCTGTTGCCCATAGCTGTTTCTGGTATTCCACGAGATAGATCAATTGTGGGTCTACCTACTGACATGATATGTACTCGTGTATTTGCCTTAAATGGTGATCAGATTATCTCTGATGAGACTGACTGATTTCAGACTGATTCAGTTCATCAAGTTTGGAATCTGAATGACTGGCTTATTGATTTCGAGAGCTACCTGTCGGCTTCTTGAGGTGGTAAACTTCCTCAATCGGGTTATTCAGTCGCTCTTTAGAAAATGCCTTCTATTCATCATATCTTCCACATAAAATGATCATCAATTCATTTCAGCATGGATTATCTCCGTAAGAAATTCTCACCTACTAAACTTTTGAATTTTTGGAGTTGACTCTAGAGGCATTCAGTTTGTGGGATGGGCATGAGCACGAGCATGGTTCACTGCATAGAATGACATGGATATCCCTAGGGGCGCTAAGCAAGCTTAAAAATTTGGATGCTTGAGCCGGGGGTCTAAGTGTTGGCTAGGTAAGCGCCCTATAGTAAGAGCAGTCACGGACCCTATAGTAAAAATTTCTATGATTACAAGTTCTTCATATCTCCACCAAAATCTTCTCAAAAGAATATATGCTAGAATAAGATGAAGGAACGGCAAACATATGACGCCAGTGTTTTTTAATCCAATAATTTAGCTTGAAATATATTGTTATTCATTGGCATATTCGAGTTTGATACATGAAGAACAGCAGGGCACATTGAATGACCGTCTTTTAAGTTTGAGGAGGCTAGATCTTTTAAGTTTTTGATGCATGAAGAACAGCACGCCAGCCTTTTAAGTTTTTGACAGAATTTAAAAGAAAACCAATAGAAAATAGGAAGTACCAATAGGAAACAAGCCCATCTATTTTCTGCCCAAGAAATCCCCATTAGTCTAGAAGTCACAACTCATTACATGATGGTAAGTAGAATTATCGTGCCTCGGATAGCCTGAATTCATTTGGGGAAGGAAGGAGAGAACCCAGAGATTTATTCACCCCTACCAAGGAAAGGAGATGCCAGAGGGCTAGGTATAACATGATATGGGGAAAATCGAGCTATCAGGGCCCGGCTCAGTCTAGGCACGTATTTGTGAAGCAATGGCATTCAAAGGATGGTATCACATATGGGGAAAGCTGTAGTTAATTATGTAAGGCATTATTATAACAAAGACCTAGTAGGCTTGGTTAGGTCTTGCTTCATTCTAAGTTGTTATTATGTTAGGTCCACACAATAAACAATGAAAGGTAATGGACTCCATGTGGGGCATTCTAAATGAAATAGACTGGGTCAATATATTCTAAATAAAAATTTCACCTTGACTAAAATATTACGGTCCCTTTAAAGGAATGATAAAAAATTAAGTAGAATAAATTTCTTAGTAAAAACTGTTGTGTTAAATTTCTTGGAGGGGCTGATGTGTACACGTTAGGAGCCAGTTTATCTGATTTTCTCCGTAAGGGGGCGACTTTGTTACCAGATTTGTCTTGGACGCTTACATCTTCCCTATTAGTATACATCAAAACCTTTCAAATTTGTGTTGGGATCTCCATATGCTCACCTTTCTTTTCAGTAGGAGAATTTGCCTAATTGCCCCATATGGTCATCTACCCTACAGGCTAAAGGATTTGACACATTAGCTTATTTTCCCCCACAAGGTTGTCTAGGGCATTAAGAGTCTCATATACTTATTTTGACCTATAGGTTCATTGTCCATGTCTCCTAATAGACATAGTTACCCATATGCTAATGATTCTCTTTAGCCTTATATGCGGTATTCTTATATCTTCCCTTCAGGGTTACGCCGAAAGGTTAGCTTCGGAACGGAACCTTTGGTTTTTGTTCCATGCTCTTATTTGCCTGGTTCTTCTGCAGGCTCAAGACCGTAGGTACCAACCCCCTATATAGATGTAACCAGTATTTAAACCGGTGTAGAGGTTAATTGAGATAAAACGTTTTTGGGAATCTACTCTAAAGGGATTTTCTAGGCGGTTCTAGTGAGAAAGGTGGGTGAAGACCTGATCAATAAGATCAAGATCCTGTTTTGACGCTTATAAAGGCTGTAGACCAAATAATCCTTTGGTTTAATCAATGATAACTCCTTCCTCAGCATTTCAAGAAAAATATGTGTTACCAAGAACTTAATTGGTTTATTTTATTTCATGGGAATAGAACTCAAATAAATAAAATACTGAATGCGGATGATGTTGCTTTAAGCTTTCTTGGTTTCCAAGAGAAAGTCTTGAGAAATAAATTATCTCAAGGACAGATTAGCTGCCCCATATACCTCGTAACTACAACACAAACACGGAGGAATCATGCTTTTGGTGAAATTAAGCTTTGACTAGTAGTTTCCATATTACGATGTTGAATGCAGTCACAAAAGCCTTAGAAACGTTTTCGCTAGGAGCATTTTTCTCGCTATAACGCTCTTTTCAACCTTCAGTTTCATTAAGATGAGAAGACTAACAAAAATGATATGAACGACTGGTGTAGTATACGTTTTAGCTTCATCAGTCAATTCTCGATGTGCTTGACTCAATTGACAATTTATTCCACGTTAAGTAATGCTGCTCTTGTCAAAAGCGATGATGCAGTCATTCTTGGAAGCGAGTTTCTAACGGTCTCCCATCCTGAATCCAAACGCGGGAGGCCCTTCCAGCCTCAATGATCAACCCGGCATGTGGAGTAAGTGGCCATGGGGTTCTTCCTCTACATGCATTGAAAAATCGCAACGCGTTTGGTTTTTCAAAGCAAGCCTGTGTAGATAGACAACCGTCAGCAAATTAAATAAACATAAGATAGATACTTTAGTATATATCTGCGGGGTTGCTATATACTAAGCTCGTTTCCCTTAAATTTATGCATCACCTTGGGTATTATTAGCTGGGACATGAAGACAGTGACCTGAACGCCACAACGACCTCTGAGTTCCTGTCGTCTCTCTCACTAAGAAGGCACGCGAAAGGTCTCTCTGTCACCCCTCTGCCGCTGAATGCAACGCTTATCTACTCCCGGGGTCCCACGTTCGTGTTCCCGGCGAGTGAAATACAGTTTCTAGACAGGATGTATGCCTATATTTAAACCAATAGCATCTCATATTAGGAGTTTACTTTAGAGCAATTATGATCGATGGGAGAGAAATCTTCTACGACAGGCCTCTTTACATGTGCCCATTTGACCTTTGGTAAGTCTAGCGGGTTTTGATACTATATGTGCATAATGAGCTGGGATCCGTTAAGAGGGACCATATTCTCCATGGAATGGAACGACCTTTGGTTCTTCTGTCGTCATCGACCGGCACCGCGCGGCTAGTTGATTTTTCTCTGTAAGTCAACAGTTTCCAAACTCTTGATTTCTCCGGGATCGTTTTCAATAGCCTTTTAATCACTTCCAAGGAAAAAAGAAGAAGAGAATAATCGAAGCAGGTAAATATGATGTATTCAACGCCAAGAGATATTCTTAATAAGTAGATGACGTTTCTGCAGCGGAAGAGATAAGCGGTGCGTAAGGAATCTCGAAAAATTCTTGGGTTTATTCCCTTTTCCTGCCTTTTATTATTCCCAGCTGGGGCAGGAGCGCAATCATCTTTCCCCCCTCGGAGGAGGCCTATTAATCTCTGATTCAAATCCCTCCGTCATCTGTTTGCTAGTCGATCAATCTGTTGTCGCCTTCGTTTCATCCGTCTTGAACGTCTCATCCGATTCTCTTCAGGACAAGCCGTGCTCACGGTAGGGTACTTCTTTCATGATTCTTAGGCTTTCGTACGCCCTGCGGCCATCATCAGCCTCTCTCAGTGTCCCACTCCCCTCGTCTTATTATTTTTCCACTAATTAGGCGCGTTCCCGAAGGTGATCCCTCGATTAGTCGCTCAAACAGTTGAGGACTGGCTATGATTTATTCTGCTCTTTGCTGTCACCCTCGTAAAACCGGTTTCATGAAATACACATCGACGAAACAACAAAGAGTAACCGTTAGAGGCTGCATAGGCATCTCTGTGTTCTTCGGCATCCGAGCAGGCTGTTTCCTCCTCGATAGTTTCGTCGAAATGTCCCCTGCAGGTCTTCGAATCATGTAAGATCTGTCCTCCTGGGTACTACAGAATCCGGGAGCGATTACAATGTTCCTAAAAGATAATCTTTGCAAGCCGTATCTCCTTGAACTTTGTGAGTTGCAGCTTCCACGTGGTATTTCCTACCAACAAAATCAAAGGATTAGAGGCTGACAGGATAAAGATATTTTCCTGTGTATTTTCGTTAGTTTTGGAGTGTAATCAAAAGACTGAAAATTTGAAGGAAGAAAAGTGTAAACAACATGCAGTAGGAATGCTTGATCCCCAAAATGTCACGCCGAGCATGGTGGCTCCTTCTCCCGGAACGCAGGCCACACTCTCCCGGCAGATCACGTCTCCGGACCAGATTGACTCCACGTCCAACATCAGGTCTTCAATGCCGCCTAACTCGCCATATTGCCCCCCCAACTACCTCGCTGACCTTCGAATGGGTGACGTTTCACTAAGCAAGAAGGTATCTTCCACGACTCTTTCTCTCAAAGAACCTGCTAATGGGTTACTTAAACGTTACCACCATTATCGTTGGTTTATGTCTTGGTATGGCTCCTGTCGAATGAGCTGGTTTGTGCTTCGCGAGAATCTTAAACCATGAGGTGCATTTAATAAACTTTCTTTGATGTAGAAATAACTTGTTTCCACCATGACCATTTTATGCACCGGATACCTAATCACTTGCTTATTTATATGTCTTCATAGCTATAATGTTCATGTTCGTATGTTACTCATAACCTTCTCTTGACTATTTTCCCTAAGTCACCCGACGTGTGAACTACGCTAACGTCTCGGTCATTTTATCATTTTTATCTATCTATTCAATAAAGAAATGCCTCATGCACCGACTCGCCTTACTGAGTCAACGCAGACTTTCACGTGCTTAGTAAAATGGTAGTTCTCCCACCCTTTTAGGGCCGGCGCCCAACGCCGTGTGAAGCACGGTACGGTGAAGCACTAGGGTATGCTAATCTCTGACGCGGCACCAAGTTGTGAGGGATCCTAGATGTTTGACCACTGAACATAGAAAAGCTAATTTCTAGCGGCACGTCTATATCACACTCGTTGTCGGAGATGCATGCCAAGAGCGACAATTTTGTAGGACTTTCAATTTCAGCTTCCAAATGACGCATCTAAATTTTTCTGCGACTGACCTAAAGATTTTGCATGAGAACTTTACCCTGCGACTACCATTTATTCCGCCAAAATATTTGTTCATCTCTTGGGAATAAAGTTTTAGAATCATGACCTTATTTCTTAGAAATATATCCAATTTTTTTGACCTCGGTGAGTTTTTGGTGATTAAGTGCAAATAAATGGCATGAAGTTCACGAGTCTTCGGGTATCACTTCCCATTGTTAATGAGCCCTTAAATCAAATTTTACAGTTTATAGTGATTAAGTTATCCGGTCCTCCGACTGGAAACCAGTTGGCTATGAGTTAATTCGTCTCAGCTTCATAGTGACTCATTTGATTTCGTAATTACCACCCTGGGATTACACTTAGCGGACGTCTTTTATGCAAAGCATCAGAATGAGAACTCAAGGGCGACGTCTTCTGAGGTCGTCTATTGTGGTTTGTGCATCAATAACCTATGAGCTGGCCGGCCTTGTCTTTCGAAGTTAGTAAAACTTGACTTGTTCCTTCCGACATAATTTAATAACACCATTTTCAATATGACCATCAACAGCAAAGCGCGGCTTCTCGCTCCGGGACACTAGGGCCCTTGAGAATCATTCAAAGACTCATTGCTTTGAAAATGTCTTCGAAGATGCCCCATGATCATACTCGAATCCATGTCATGCATTAACAGGCTCCGTAAGATCCCCTAAAATAGGTGATGTGACATAATCTATATTTTGTTCCATCTATTCTTCTTCCGCGGCATCGGATGGCTTGTACATTTGCTGTTGGGGTATTCCCTGATCTTGCATGAACTGTTATTAAAATATCAACGAAATGGATGGGTACTGACCATGAGACTTTGTGATTCGTTCCAGGTAGGGGCAGAGTTTGTGGGAACCTTCGTTATCTTATTCGGGGCCGCGGCCACGCCAATAGTGAACCAGAAGTACGGCGGCGTTGAAGGGCTCCTGGGGTGCGCTGCGTCCGCGGGACTGGCCGTGATGATAGTAGTCCTCTCCACAGGGCACATCTCCGGGGCCCACCTTAACCCGTCCGTCACACTCGCCTTCGCTGTTTTCCGCCATTTCCCTTGGACTCAGGTGCCCGCTTACATTGCTGCCCAAGTCTTAGGCTCCATCTGTGCTTCCTTCGCCCTCAAGGGCATCTTCCGTCCTTTCCAATCCGGCGGCGTCACCATGCCGTCCATTAACACCACAGAAGCCTTCTTCCTCGAGTTTGTCGTCACCTTCGTCCTCGTCTTCGTGATCACTGCTGTTGCAACAGACACAAGGGCGGTACGAAAGAACGCCCTCAGGATCTCTCTCTCTCTCTCTCTCTCTCTGTCTTGCGCGTTTTCCGCTTACAGGCTGTATGATGCTTTATTTCAGGTGGGAGAATTGGCTGGAATAGCAATAGGAGCTACGGTCTCGCTAAACATACTGGTGGCTGGGTGAGTGTGATCTTATGCATACAATGTCTTCAGCGCTTCCTATTGCGTCATGAGCATGTAACCATCCCTCTTCAACAATAACCAGTGAAACTTAATCAGTTTGCTTATCGTCGATCAGCTTAGTTATCGTCCATGGCTTATCGCCGCCTCCCTTTCTAAAATATCACTCGTCTGGGATTCAGATTTTCAGTTTTGATTCGCGTACACAGCAAGCCTGTGGCTACGTGGGGTATTAAGAGCGAAAATACATGCAGGCCCTCGACAGGTGCATCAATGAATCCGGCAAGGACGCTTGGTCCGGCGATAGCCACCGGCAACTACAAGCATATATGGGTATATCTGCTGGCGCCTACGGCTGGCGCTATTGCTGGTGCGGCAGTGTACGGCGCGGTGAAGCTGAAGGATGATGAAACTGAGCGAGAGCGTCAGGCAAGAAGCTTCCTCCGCTAGGCAAAGTATGGTGCTTACTCGATGGGCGAGATAACAAAGGTAAACCATTGTTTGACTCCTCGGAAACAGTCAGCTTGAAGGAATTTTAATAATAATGCTGATAATTTTTTGGTCTTTTTCACGGACGGTTACTGATGACACATTATCTTGGTTAGTTGGCAAGGAACATTCGACATTTACTACTCGTTTTTCACAAAATATTTCTCTTGACCAATGAGTCTCCATGCTTCTGATGGCAGGAGCCCCATGACTCGCTTAAAGAAAAATAATCTGAGGAATAATCAGCCCTGATATTGGTGATATCTTTAAACCTATTTTCCTTCCAAAGAACAATTTCTTCCATTGAGTAAAAGAGACATTTATTTCAGTCAATAAGACATTACATCCGTTTTCCCCTCCATTCTCGAACATCTACCATTCTGTGTTGTCGATCCAGGCCCTTTGGACAAAAGGGATTAAAGTGCTGAATTCAGATGGGTTGGTTGAAATTTACATGTAGAAGGTTCTACACGGACAATGGATGCATGCGCTCTTCAGAAGCTAGTAACTTCACTTCAGACGTGAGAGTGAAAAAATTATCTGATTTACAATCCAATGGAAAGGCTACTATCATGTTAAGATTATTAGAAGGAACTACATAAATTAAGAGTGTAATGGCTAAAATCATGACTGTTTTATTTAGTACTATGAATGCTTACGAGTTTAACCATAGTTTTAAATTATGACACAGCAAAAGAAATATGAGATCAACTGTATATGTTGACGAAGGGACTTAATCAACTGAAAGACATCAAAATCGATATTTTGGTGAATAGGTATAAGTTATTTTGAATAGAGGATGTAGAATTTATTCAAAATTTAGTTTGTCAACTTGATAATTTTTTAAATGACACAAAAAACATAAGAATAACTTATACTGGCACTGAGTTAAATCGAAACTTTGAATTAGATCATTTATTAATGATTATAGTGCTAAAGTAACCGCAATTGAGGAAACAAAAGATTCAAGAACGACTTTGTTGATGATATTAGTGGTTTCCTGTTGACTGATGAGAGTTACATGTCCAGTGAAAAAGTTGGATCATCTCACAATGAAGATGAAATCACTTTACTATCCAGGAGACTAAATAAAATTATGAAGAAGAAGAATAACTTTACAACCAGAAAGGTATGAAAAAGTTAGCTGAAGAGCTTAATGATCTTTCTTTGATTGCAAGAAGCTACGTCACTTCAAACCTGATTACTCCATGATGGCAACATGCTGTGAAAGCACATCCAAGTATTGGTAAACTCCCTTTCCTACCCCTCGAGGAAAGTGAAGAAAAGTAAAACTTAGCTTTGATGGCAAGATCTTCAAAGGTCTAAGATCCTTAGATTTTCTCTCTATCTAAAGAATAACTACATGAAGATTTTGGTGAACTATTGCATGCCTATAGAAATGTTGGACATGAGATTATGGTCACTTAAAGATAAAGAAAATCACACGCTAAAAGAATCAGTGAAAATTACAGAGACTAGAAACAAACATAAAAAATCATAAAAATATTCTTGACTAGAAGGACAAAGAATTTGAAGAAACACTTTTTAGAAGAACGTCCTTCTCTATGATTAATGAACTGCAATGGACCATTGGTTAATGGATAGAAGAATAATCTATCAAACCCAAATTTGAAACGGATGAAAAGCCTAATGGCCAAAGATCTATAAGCTATTTATCTGATTTAGCGATAAGTTTTATTGCACATGAAAATATAATAGCTGAAATAAGTCTAGAAAACTAGAAACTTAAGAAAGAAAACTATAATGGCTTATCATAATATAAATACTGAACTAAAATATTATAAGTAAAATGATCTTGAAATATAAAATAATTTATTTGAGCTGAATCATATTATGATAAATTGTGTGGTAGCCAGAAGTCATTAAATAGGTTACTCCAATGTTGAAAATTATCTCATAGAAAGGAAATATTAGGCCTTAATCCTAGATGAACGAAACGTAACTTAAAACGAAAGTCAGACCTAAAAGACATTATGTATGGGTAACTAAGGGTAGCTATTTAAACCCATAAAAATTTTGGTTTCCCAAATTAAAAGCTTAGATTATTTATCAAGGAGCTTTTCAATAGAATAGTTCATAGTGGTATTTTGATAATGAGTGTTCAAGACAGGATAGGAGATGGAGGATGACTTTCTTCATTCAAGTCAATGGATGAAGGAGTAGTAATATACTTCGATATGAAAATATTTCTTTTGAAATTAACAAACCTTGGCTAAAAATATTTTACTTGTTGCTGAACATTTTAATGAGCAATATACAAGAGGTTACTATATTCTTTAACATTTTTAGGGACATTTGTGAAACTATGTAGGCTGAGTTATTTTCAATGGCACAGGTAAATACCTCAAACTCACCTTTCCAGAACCCAATAGCCCTAGATTTGAAACCCCCACCAAACTCGTTGAAGTATGCACATCTAAACATACCAAACCTTCTTGTTACCATAGCCTTCCATCTCACCCATAAGATGAAGTACATGTTATAGAGGTTTTGAAGAGAGTATAAAAAAGCTATAAACTAGGTTAAGGCAGATTTAAAAGGGATTAGCCTGAGTATATGTATGCATCATATATATATTAAAGATGATGCTAAACTTAGTGGGGAAGTGTAGATATGGTGTAACCCTAATATGATGAAGGAATTTAAGGAGAATTTTTCTTGATATTGTAACATTACTTTTAGGGTACATTCATATTAGTGCTTTTAATGTTATATCGATCATATATACAATAGGTTATTGAGACAGAGCAATCTAGTTCTTTTGAATTTTTTTTACATGTAGGGAACAAGCTATAAGGAATATAATGGGACCTTTCAATCATATTGTCTATAAAAAAATTTAAACTTATTTAGTATATATTTTGAGGATTTATTTTAATTTATGCAAAATGTAGGAACTTCTTAAAGCATAGAAAATTTTCTACGTCCACATTTCTCTTTTCATATGGCATGTTTTTGTATATAGGATGTTGCTATTTGCATGTACAGTGTCATTGGGGATTATAACACTCGAAGTTGGGGGTTGAGGATGAGAGAAAATTATGCATTCCTTTGAAAAATACATGCTTATGTTGATATTTTAATTTTTTTGAGAATTTTAACAATCCATAAGTACAGATTTTTTCATGAATATATATTAATAGAAAAAACATTAACATGTAATAGTACTTTATATTTCATTCATGGAAGAAAACTCAATTGGAATATTTGAACTCATATCATGTAAAGGCAATCATAGTCAACATGAAATGGATAAATAAAATCAAATATTGTTAGGATACTCCTCAAATGTATGAAACCATTATTGTATTGAAATATCATTTTCAATCAATTTTAGCCCTAAAATATTTTTTATTTTCGTTACCAAGAGACTAAAATACCTTAAATTGGGGAGTGTGATAAAATATCATTTTTATGTCTAGTATATTTGGTGCATTAATTTGTGATAAATGATATAGATTTAATTAAAAATCTGGCATAGCATATTTTAAATTATTACACAAGTACAGGCTTAATTTCTGATTTTTATATACTTTTCTAGTATGTTAATGTATGTTACACGTAATTTTTACCCTTAATCTATCATTATTCATTCGAAATTATATTTTTAAATAATTTTAATTATTTTTTATAATGTTTTTCTATTTTTTTGGTATTTTTTAAGAATATTTTGGAATATGTGATAATAATATTTAGGTACATTATGCACCTATTAAGGTGGCCCATTAACCCTCATTGTGTTGTTTATTCAATTAAATTAAAGTCATTTTTTAAATGGATGAAAATAGAAAATGGCTATAGACATTTGGAAATGGTGGAAAAATAGACGAAGAAACAAAAAACAATTTTCATTGAAAATCTTATGATTGTTTAGCAAGTTGATTTCTCAACACCTATAATGAATTCTAGAACTAGTGGGATACAATAACCTCCAATTTATGGTAAGGAGGCTTTTACTTTCTTTCCCACTAGGTGACAGATGATGGTCTTTTTTGGTTTTTTAATTGAGTTCTAATGTTATTTTGGATAAAATATGATTTTTACTTTGTTATGAGTTCATTTATTTGATTCATTTAGATGATAAGTGAATGATTGAAGAAATGATTGATTTCTAAGAGTTTTACCCAGATTTAGATCAAATCCATTCATTTACCCATCCTTGGTGTCCAAATGGAAAAATCCTATTTTCAATATATTTTTGTCTATTTTTTTGTTTTTTTCCTGTTGGTATTAGCTTTAATTTGACATGAGAACTGATTCATGCAACAAAAATCAATTGATTCATTTAAATTTTTTAATTCGTTGTGATAAGCTAGGAATTGAATATCCAAAAGAGAACTATTGATATAGTCCTATAATTTCCTAAAATTCAGTAGTAGTAAATTAAACCTTGGGAATTTAATGTAGGAATGATCTGTTGCTTCAAAAGGTAAGTTAAAGTGTAACACCTGACCATTCAAACAATTTTTAGATTTTAATATATGAAAAAAGTCATATACATGTGCATCTATTTATTGAAAATGAAGACACAACATTGACTAATACTTATATATTTGATGAATTTGATTTGATATTTCTTACAGGACTAATAAGCATTTTTAAACTCAAATTGAAGGAAAATATGTTAGAGCTAATGATCAAATATCTGAGAATTATCAAGCACTACAAATGATTGTTGGATGCTCTAAAGGTTGATGTAGTAAAGAGTACTTTTGCCTCATCTACACAAGCCTACAAGTCAATTGAAAGCTGACAAGGAGAAGAAGACCAGATGCTTTTCAATATATTGAAAGGAGAGATCATCCTCGAGATCTAAGGCCTTTAAAACAACTATATAACAGATTTAGGTAGCGAAAATATTGAAACACATTGTTTGGAACAACACTGAGGTTGTACCTGAACCATACTACAAATAATATAACATTGCATAAGTTTTCAAG